CGATGTGATGAAATACAATCACTAATTATACACTTGGTAGGACGATGTGATGAAATACAATCAATAATTATACACTTGGTAGGACGATGTGATGAAATACAATCAATAATTATACGGAAGTTAACAAATCTATGTACTTAATTAAATTGTTTTTAATCGTTTTGGACACAAAATCATTTCCAACGTGTCAAAATCACTATATATATATTTGTACAGAAATAACTGTTTGTCACAGTAAATTCCATCCCGTTTCTTCTCTCTAGGCCTTACATAATTGACGTTATACCGTGGAAGGCTCAGAAATAAAGACAAACACAGCGCTAGTGTCTGTAGTTTTACGTTTTCTATTAATTGCACTTGAATAAATTGTTTAGTTATTGTGAGACAAACAAATGTACTCTTTCACACTTTAACCTTTCACACCTTACTCAAGTGAAGTGTAGTCTTTCACACTTTAATCTTTCACACCTTGCTCAAGTGACTGTGTAATTAACGGTACAAACATTATACAAAAAGGCAGCAAAGTTAACTGGTTGTTTGTTTTAGAGTAAAGCCACGTTGAACTATCTACCTAACTATCTATCTAACTATCGAACCCCGGAATATATTGTTGCAAGTCCTAAACTTACCGCTGTCTCATCTGGGGACGCCAAGTTAGTTTATTTGTTTACTCAATGGATAGTCAAAGAATATTCATAGAATCTCTAACCTGTATCTGCGGCTTACAACGTTAGAAACCTGGTTTCGATACCTGTGGTGGGCAGAGCACAGATAGTCCATTGTGTATCTTTGCCCTTAACTACAAATGCCCCCCAGTGGCACAGCGGTATGTCTGGGGACTTACAACGCTAGAAACCGGGTTTCGATACCCGTGGTGGGCAGAGCACAGATAGCCCATTGTGTAGCTTTGTACATAAATTGCAAACAAACAAACAAATTAACTACAAACAAACAATCTAACCTGTATTACTCTCGTTTTCTTCGCATATTGAGCCCTCTATCGGTCTATTCCCTTGCGTTACTGTTAACTTTATTTTATTTAAGAGATCTCCAAGAACTTCCATGCTAGGAGATACGATAAAGTCGATAAAGCCTGAAATTAGAAATAGATTAATTAAATCACACTAATATTATTATGTATAATAAGCATTGGCTACACTATGTTCACCATTTGACAATCTAAATTACTGATAACCGGAGCTTAGTGTTGATTAATTAAATTTTATTTGAAAACAACAACAAAAAAAAAACTTTCAGAAGTTACATTATGTCAATGGTACAAAAATATTCGTCACAGAAGAAGCACTGAAAGTGAAATCATAGAACAATACATGTGAGTACCCGCCAAGGATATAAAACCTTGTTACTAAGAGAAAAGCATGCTTAAGTAAATGTCCATTTGAATTTGCTAATGCTTTGTCTGAAAACACACTAATAAATTTGAAGTAGCTAAACTGTTGCGGTGTAACTTAATCATTTTTGGCCATCTAGACGAAGTACACGATGGACTATTTTGTCATTTCGGCCATCTAGACGAAGTAAACGATGGACTATTTTGTCATTTCGGCCATCTACACGAAGTAAACGATGGACGATTTTGTCATATCGGCCATCTAGATGAAGTAAACGATGGACGAATTTGTCCTTTTGGCCATCTAGACGAAGTAAACGATGGACTATTTTGTCATTTTAACCATCTAGACGAAGTACACGATGGACTATTTTGTCATTTCGGCCATCTAGATGAAGTAAACGTTGGACGAGTTTGTCCTTTTGACCATCTAGACGAAGTAAACGATGGACTATTTTGTCATTTTAACCATCTAGATGAAATAAATGATGGACGAATTTGTCATTTTGGCCATCTAGATGAAGTAAACGATGGACGAATTTGTCATTTTGGCCATTTGATATGAAGTAAACGATGGACGAGTTTGTCATTTTGGCCATCTATATGAAATAAACGATGGAGATTTTGTCATATCGGCCATCTAGATGAAGTAAACGATGGACGATTTTGTCATCAGCATCAAGTTATGCATAAGGCAGTTACTATGTCATTGTTGTTGTTATTTGTTAAATCTAAAAACTACTCGAGGGCTATCTGCAATAGCTGTCCATAATTTTGAAGTGATAGGCGAGAGGGTAGACAGCTAGTTATCACCACCCACAGCCAACTCTTGAGCTACTCTAATTGAATAGTGGGATTTGACAGTCATCAGCGCCCCCAAAGTGCGGAGCTCAGTTTATTTCGTATACGTGACGCGAACACATGGCACGACGCTAGTTTCAGACGAGTTGAGTTGACACGTGAGTCTCTCATCACTAATCCCAGAAAAGCCAACTTTACCAGTTGCATATTTTGAGAGAGTAATTTAATTAAAATAATTAATTAATAAATACATTATAAAAATCCAAATAACGCGCTGCTGGGTTTTTGGTTTTACATTAAATACTGTTGATACAGTTATGATTTAAAGAAAATATTATTATCAATAGATGATAAATTGTCAGTGTACATACTATCATTAAAATATAGGGTTTAAAACGAAAAGAAGGTTTAAAAGTAATATAAGGTTGTTTTGATCATTAATTACCTTAACTTACAATTTTTTTTAGCTTAATAGAGACTTTATAAAATTCAGTTACAATTAATTTAATATAAACTGTTATCAATCCCCTAGCAATTTTACTGAGTAATAGTCTACGTCATTTACATTATTGTATATTAGTACAACATACCTTTCGATTAAACAAAATAGATTGGATTATTATGGAAAACAATGCACCTATCTTTAAAGTTTAGAACATGTAAATAATGATGCAACAGAACGTCCTTCTATTGCGGATTTCAAAGTGATTCCAAACAGCTACCTTTTTAATCATTATGATGACACTTTAAAGACAAACATCATTATCCACTTACTGTATTTTTAATAACTTCTCTGCAACACATAGTAAAACATGGAAGTAAAGTGTTGGTATTCTCGTGTACAAATGTTAGTAACATTTCTAAAGCAACAATCATAAGCTCCAAAAATTCATGCAGGAACGACGGGACCGTTGTGTCTCTTAATTTGGAAGTTGTCCAAAATTATTAACATATGTTTAGAGCAAATTGTAACATAGCACTGTTTCGTAACTTGGACTGTTCGCCGTCTTACCGATTTGAGATTCAGCAACTAGTGTTGTGTTTCTGTCACAGAGTGGTGAGAAGGGTAAGCCTAACTCTTTTTCTTTGTCGCCCTGAGCGGATGAAAAAACATAAAGTTTGAATACATAGAAAAACAATGAAGATGAACAATTAAATAAGATAATCCACAAAAATTAGCCTAACGCAAGAACTAACAATTAGTTGAGAAAAGGAAAGCAAATTACTAATATAGCTGTGAATTAACAAGGTAAGTGAAGAGAATGCATTCATTGAAAACTCTCGACTCAGATCTATACAGAAACAAAGAATTTCAGCATCTAATAACGCTTTGGACGTTGGAACAATAATACATTATGTATGAAGTCCACTGCTGGGCTTTACTTTAGAAACATTTTTAATTAGAGTAGATTTTTAGATTGGCACTTAATCTTATATAGAGAGCAGGCATTTTGTATATTTCAAGTCTGATTAAACTTATAGAAACTCTGTTTGTTTTATGATAACTTCTAGAAACTCTGTTTGTTTTATGGTAACTTATAGAAACTGTTTTATGGTAACTTATAGAAACTGTTTTATGGTAACTTATAGAAACCCTGTTTGTTTTATGGTAACTTAAAGAACCTCTGTTTGTTTTATGGTAACTTATAGAAATTATATATTATAATTGCCGATAAGTTGATACTGATTAAAAGTACCCCGATGGGACAGTGGTATGTCTGCGGATTTACAAAGCTAAAATCCGCGGCTCAATTCCCGCGGTGGACACAGCAGATAGCCCAATGTGGCTTTGTCCTAAAACAAACAAAAGAACAAAATAGCTGATTAAAAATTAATGTTTTGGGTTACTGAATATATCGAACTCGCAGACGTCATTTTCTCCAAAGTGACAGAAATAAAAGCATCAAGCTAGACCAAGTCACGACTAGCGAAACGTACGCCTCAACACGAACCCTTCATACTCCCTGGTGCAATCAGTTCGTTGAGATTAAATTAAAGCTAATTTTTGTGAATATATAAAATATTGATACAATTTTGTATAGTTTACAATAGCCTAAAGTCTTATGATGTTGCATATGCAACAAAGCTTGAAGTGGATTATCTAATAGTTTCCGTATTGAAGACTTTTTTGGGAAGATAATGGAGGCCTCAACTATGAAACAGTTTCTATACGTTACCATAAAACAAACAGAGTTCTATAAGTTACCATAAAACAAACAGAGTTCTATAAGTTACCATAAAACAGTTTCTATAAGTTACCAGAAAACAGAGTTTCTATAAGTTACCTAGAAAACAGAGTTTCTATAAGTTACCATAAAATAAACTGAATTTCTATAAGTTACCATAAAATAAACTGAATTTCTATAAGTTACCATAAAATAAACTGAATTTCTACAAGTTACCATAAAATAAACTGAGTTTCTATAAGTTACCATAAAACAGATTTTTTATAAGTTACCACACCTGTTGAAAGAATTCCTCCATCAGAAGCTTCGTCCAAGGATAATGTACGGTCCATTCTTTACTGGGGTGACTGATATCACAGCAATGGAGGATCAGAGCAAGAGCTTTGGCCTTGTCTATACTAAAAATACATAGGAAATGAATTCGTTAAGTGGAAACAATAGTGATAAAAACTTCAACTAAACGAACAGACAAACTAAAACCAGAAACATAAAAAACAGAGTAACCCTCACCCTGCTTAACTTCAACAGATGGCCCTTAATCTAGTTAGGTAAATGATGATGGAAAGTTTCTACAACGATCTGTGTGTCTTACCTGAACTCTGGATGAGATAGAAGTGTTTTCATTGTTTTAATTTGGTGAAAATGTGAGGACATGTCCGTTCCAAGCACCATCTCTATAGTTAGAGTTCGAAAGTCTCTGAAAAACAAGAAGTCTTGAATTGGTTTCACAACTGACCATACACAAATCTCTCTCTTACGAAACATGACCTTCTTATCTCTTACACGGAACATGACACTGTTTGTTTGTTTTTTACTACTAATAATATCATTTTTAAAACTAAATTATCAAAAACTCTTATTACAGTATATACACTGAGTGGTCATAAGTAAATAGACACCTATATTTTCGTCATTTAACTGATTTATGCTAACTAATTTGTGTTCATAGAGCACTATATGAAAGAAAATGGTCCTCACACTAATTATCTTGTGCTACAACATGCCTAGAACTCAAGGTTCTCTCGAATTGTCAGATTTTGTTAGAGGAAGGATAGTTGGTCAAGCAGATGGTGGAATAAGTCAGCGGAAAATTTCCCAGAATTTGGGAATCCCGCTTTTGACAGTCAACAGAATC